CATTCCCCCTTTCCGCACTCTGAGCTGACGTCATGTGTGAACGGCCCCTCAGAAAAGAGTCACGCCACACTCACCCACGGTGGTGTACACGGCAGTGACCAGCAAGATGGCGCCGGTACAGACATACAGGTTCCAGCCCAGAAGTTGTTGGAGGAAGATGACGCCTGCATAGATCTCGGACTGAAAGATAAATGTGACACGACACTTTGGAAGCGCTCGTCATTTTTTGGGGACATGTGGAGTTATTGGTATCTTCTTAAAGCTTATTGATTTGATTTGCTTTCGATTTTTAAAAATCCGTCTATTAAAGGTATACAATATGTAAATATTCAGTTTTCAAGGACTCTCCAGCTATTGAAGCTACCAAACTTTGGCGGCCATTTTCTAGCTAATTTTACCACTGCAACCAGGCGCCCCTAACATCCTTCAATCACAAATATCTCGATTTCTATTAATTAATTAATTAACGTTTTTCAGTAAAAATTTACATTGAAATGTGATTTTATATGGACGTAAAAGGTGTTGAGACAAAAACAACAAAAATTCGGGTTCTAATGCTATGAAAAAGTTGTAGCAAAGGATGAAGAAGCTAAACATGCCTATAACTCAAAATCCAAACTTTTCAGGTGAATCGAGACTTTTGGGGTGTATCAAGTTTCTCTTTCTGTCTGCGGGGTTGTCATATCCCCCACGGCAAGAGGTGTCACTGACAGGTAGGGTCGAGTCAGCCTGCCTCCTAAATAACAGAGGAGTCCACTGAAAAAACCGGCAAGGTCACAAACTGGAAATTGTGAGGGTGTCAATTTTAAAAACTTGTGGACTCATAACTTCATATTTATTTGATTGGTGGTTTATTTTATATGTTTGTTGGATGGGAAATCTAACAACAATAATCAACCAACTGTTGAACAGAAATACAGTTATGAGTCAACAAGTGTTCGAAATTGTTACCGTCATGATTCTCAGTTTGTGACTATGCCCGTTTTCTCAGTGGATTCCTCAATTTTAAAAAGTGTAAACGCGGACGTAAAACCCCCATACAAATAATATGTCGTATCACGACGTGGTGGAATCAGGAGCTCGTCAATTTTTGGGCATGTGGATTTATTGGTATCATGTATAAGCTCATTTAATTTCCTTGCTTTCAATGAATAAAATACTCATGTATCTTGAATAGAAGTCGAGACATATGAGATTGAAGAAGGTGTGGGTCACCTGGTTTCAGTGATAAAATAAGCGAAAAAATGTCGGTAACTTCAACAGCTTGTGAGTACCTCAAAACTGAAAAATTGCATATTTTGTGCCTTTCATCAACGTATATCAGTCACATTCACATGTAAACGTGTTTTGGTATTGGCATAAAAGTGTTGAAAAACCCCCTCAAAAGAATTTGATTAAAATTGCCAAATTAACAGAAAATTCATGTTTTTCGTTATTATTATTTTGAGGAGCGCCTGAACTGACCACGATGCCTCACATATCATGTATATTACACAATGTCTGAAATATAATCGCTTTAATTTTCAGCTACCGTACAAGACTGCTAAGCGAATTGACATGTTTCCACACTTACCGAAATTTTGAGTATGACGTAGATCGCTAATGAGAGAAGTGAGAAAAGAATTCTGAGACGGGCACCTCCAAACCGTTTCGTCAGATACTCGGGAAGTGTAAAAGCCTGCACAAGAGAATTATCATACATTTTACATAATAAATGCCTAAAAATAATAATAATGATAAAAACATATAACATTTATATAGCGCATTTCCAAAAAAGTAGCTCAATGCGCTTTACATTGGAATACTCATTTTTCAAAAACCTTTCTTACTACTTCCTTTCTTCTCATGGAATATACATTAATACACACACACACACACACACACACACACACACACACACACACACACACACAAACACACACACACACAAACACACACACACATAGACACACATACACAGTTACACATATTCACATACGTGAAAATTATAATATACACATATCTATGTGTATAACAATATAGTAATATATACATATTTATGTTAATGTACATTTATCTATTATGAATATAAATTAATACGAGTGGGGTTCAAGAAGTCTTTGTTCTAAATAAGAAGGAATAAAAATAGAGCGTTGTAACTTGGCACACATAATTTTATTTTTCTACATAGTCACCATGCAGAGTAACACATTGAACAAACTGACTAGTGCCTTATTACTGTTGGATTTTCCTAAAAATTTGCATGGTGTGTTTCAAAGAAATTATTGTCTAAAGGCTGGCGAAATTTCATTACTCCACCATGATTCCTTTATACCAAGACCAAAGACTCACTGAC